TAGAAAAGGTATCAATTTTAAAAATTTAAACCGTATTTATACGAATATAATGATTTTTTTACTATGACAAAAATGGGTAGTTTTGTTGCTTCCAAAACTTTATTATGTTACTGCAGGATGTAATAGTGTTGAGGGTGCATTTACCTGCTCTTTTAAGGTATAATATCATTGAGTAAGCCCTGTCACGATAACTTGCCATATAGTATCTCATGTATAATCTCTTTATACTTTCAGTATAGTACCTTAATAGCTGCAGCTGACTGAAAAGAACTGAATTTTAATAAACTATAAAAACTGTTATTTTATTTTAAAAGTGATTTAATAGACATTTATTTTGAATTTAATACGTAGATACGATATACATAGTACGAGTAGAAATCATTAGCTAATGCTAATTTATTTTGGTAAACTTTTTTAATATTTAAAAGTCAAATTTAGAATTGACTTAGAATTGAAATAATTTATATTCTCCAAAGCTCCAGATTTTATGAAGATGAAACTTGGAAGCCTCAAGCTATATGTAATATTAGTAGCCTAAGAGAAACAATTAGTGTACTTTAAGAATTTTATGATAATATACTTTTTAGAGCTTTAGTGATATTCATTTATCAACAATGAAGTATTAAAAGTATATACTTTAATTCTATCATTAGAAAGGCAATACGCCAGTGCACTCACGTTTATTAGAGAAATTTGACAATATAAAAATGAATGATCTAACATATGATGATCCTTTAGCCAATGGGGTAATCGATCTTGGGTGTAACTACTTCAAGGCTTCTAAAGAAGAATTTGATGTTCTTCTAGTAGGAATTTTAATTCATACTATTTGTAATTTAAAGACAATTAATACAATTGTATTCTTATAGGGAGAGAAGGCTGAAGTAAGAAAATTAAATAAAGAATTGTCAATAAAAAATTTATGTGCTGATTTTGTGCATAAAAGAACTGAAACTCAGTTAAAATATAGATTTATTTTAGCACTATCTTAAACTATATGTTATGATAAATAGGTTGAACCAATATATATAAGAGAGGAAGTAGCACATAATATTTTGGATATAATTTTGCAAGAAACCAAGATAGACATCCATCAAATCTCTAAATGCTCAGAAAACACACTGTAGAAATAATTGGTCATTTAATAGATACAGCTATGTGTAACTTACTAGTTGAATTTGATATTAAAGTGATCAGGTAATTTATATAATAATTGATTTTATTGATTTGGTAACTAACAACTTATTTTAGAGCTGAAAAACAAAGTATTGCAAGTAAAAATCGTAAAATTTTTCGAGGTACTGGTTCAAGAGGAAATAGACCAGATTTAATGATAAAGGCATTTTTCAAAGAAAATGGAATGAACTTGTATACATTGAAAGTGGAATGTGGAAATCTAACGAAGACAAAATATAGGACGATCATAAGAGTTTAGTATGATTTTGTATAGATTGCTATGATGAAATATCAAAAAAATCTAGAAAAGACCAACTGTGTAAATTTTTTTTGCATTTGGAATAAATATTGCAAGTATAGATATGAATAAATTTAATTTTCCAGGTGATTTTTTTTGTGGTGTCTAATTAAATTAATAATCTCTATTCTAGGCGATTTTCTGGTAATTGATAGACTAGCATGAGAAAATGGAACAAGATTTTATCTTCCTATTGTAAAAACCAAGATTCCATTTTAGACCAGATTTAATGATAAAGGCATTTTTCAAAGAAAATGGAATGAACTTGTATACATTGAATTTTGAAAACTATCGAAGCTTTTGGTCAAGTGCAAACCCAAACAAGAAAAAATGACAATCAGTCAAGTGTTCTACATAAACAATATGTGTATAATTCCCAAACTATATTATATAC